TGTGTGTGTGTGTGTGTGTGTGTGTGTGTGTTCAACATACATTTATCCCCTGAGGCGTAATGAACCTGAACCTCTTTTGGGAACACACTGACGAAGGAATCTCGGGGTTCCCAAGTCTGATTACGTGGTAAGCATTCTCATCATGCCCAGAAAGTCTCTGAGGCCAACAACAACTCCAGGAAAAATGTGCTGAAGGTCCAGGAGAACTGGATGACGCAAGTGACAGACATCCACTCAGTCCCAAAGCTGAGTGGGCAGCCCTGCATTCCCAGGCTGGAGTGAGGAGTCTGCCAGGACAATGGAGGGTCAGGCAGCCCCAGGGCTGGGTGGACAGCGGGCCCTGAACAATGCATAGGGAATTACACAGGCTTGAGAACACGCTTTTTCAGCTTCGGTTCCCTGTCAGCTTCTCACCTTATGCTTGTCGAGCAGTTGCTGGATTTCTTCTTTGGAGGACACCATGATTTTCTGGTCCCCTGCCATCTTTTCTTGTCCAGTGTCCAGCAGGTCTACCAGATCCTGCAGGGCCTTATCATACTGACTCGTGAGTGCAAGGTTCTGGTTGAGACTGCCCCTCCGGGAGCCGATGGTTGCTAGCAGTTCATCATACATGTCCTGAGAAGCAGAGGCACCAGCACAGTCTCAGTCGCAAAGCCCACCACCTGCGCAGTATCCCACCAAGGACATGCCTCTCCATGAAGGTGTCCTCCAGGGATTCTCTGCAGAGACAGCCTGCCTGTCTTTCTTATGAGCCTCACTAGAAAACTCTCGAAAAAGAAAAGAGACGCTCGGGACATCTCTCTCCACATCCTTAATACACATGCGCTGGGACTATTGATTTCCTGGGGTTCCTTAGGTTGACTCAAGTTCTTTTGTTAATCTTGCTTGGCAATCTTACATGCTCCTGTTGTTGTTTTCAATTTGGCTTTTTTCTTAATGAAGAACTCATAAATCAAAGAGGGAGACCAGAAGAAAATGAACAAAATTCACAAAGACTCAAGGATGGGGTGACCAGGGTAAAGGGTAAAATACGTAGCTAATACAACATGGAAAGAACTGTTTGGAGAAAAGTAAAATTTGAGTCTTATGTCAAATATTAGGATACAACTTATATTTATTAAAAATATAATTAAAATGTTTATTTAGTAAAGAAAAGAAGCAACTCACTAGTCCTGCATTATCCTAGCATGCACAAGGCCCTGTGTTTGTTCACTAGCACATACATAAAGCTTAATGGTTCAAGATTCTGGGCAAGAAAGAAGGGCTAGAGAGAGGCTTCAGCAGCTAACAGCACTGCCTTGTCTACCAAAGGACCCAAACCCCAAACAGTGGCTCACAGCCAACTGTATCTCCAGTCTGAGGGGACTCAACACTCTCTTCTGGCTTTTGTGGTACCAGGCACACATGTGGTGCAGAGACATACAAGTAACCAAAACACCCACACATGTAAAAGTTAAATTAAATAAATTTAAAAACATTCCAAGCAATTTAAAACAAGGTATTTCCTAAAAATGACCCATGAGGTAAATTCCTCTCTTCTCAGGCTGTTGATCATCCAAGATGGGGTTAAGATGCTGCACAAAAAATGTCCCCACAGTGATGTGAGATGTCATAGGAAAACCGATTCTCATAAGGTTATCATGTTCTTAGCATTTATTTAATCTTACAGTAAATGAATAGAGTATCTCTCACATTTTGGTCTGCTAAATAGCATCAGATCTTGGGCTACCCTTCAAACGAAGAGCCAAATAAAACAAGAGGAACTTTAAAATGCAAGCTGCAAAACCTTCAAACTTAAAAAGGCAACGTTTCTGCCAAACGTGGTGGAATAAACAACTGTTTAATCTGGAAAGACATTTTAGAAGCTGGTGAGACAGCAAACAAAATTTACTGGAGGCATATGGGCCTGATTACAGCCCTGTGCCGAGGTGGGGCAGCCAAAACTGTTCACTCTGGAAAAGTTCAACCTGAATGCTTATTTACAGCTATGACGTTTGACTTACACCTGACGCCGAAGCCCTGTGGGAAAATGATCTAAAAGGAGGGTGAGCAGGCCAGGGAGGTTCGTCCTGTGACGTTTCAAAACACCAGCCAAAGGCCTGAGGCAGTCAGACTGAGAGAGACTTCTTATTTATAAGCCATTGCATTTTCTCACGAGAAGGAAGGGCTTAAGACTTTGCTTTCAACTCATCACCATCCCCAAGTGTTCCGCAGTGATGCCCAGGGACAAAGACTGATACACTGTGCGGCTATGCCCAACTACATGTGTTTTAAAATACAGCTTGCTTTCTATAACGTGCTAAACTTCACTGGTTTGGAGAGGTACTTACTTCAGTTTTGTCCTTCTCTCCCAAGTGTGAGTTCTGCTTTGGTGTCAGAATTAGTGATACATGGTTTCTATTTTTCTTTCTCTTTTCTTTCTTTTATTATATATACATTATATATATATATATTATTTATATATATATATATATATATATATATATATATATATATATATATTCGTTTTTGAAAGGTAATGAGTTTCCCAACTTTCTAAGTTTTGTTGCTATTTTGGAACTGAACATTTGTATTACATTCTGGCATCTATACCAGATAAAGTCCCGTTTTGAAAAACTACATTCTAAAAAGTCTTACCATAAATATTTACTCCATTAAATCATGCCTAGGAATGTATTTCAATATTGGATAAAAATCCCCTCACTTTTGATTTCACTAGGGAGGGGCGATAATGATGGTTCTATCTTCAAGAGCAGAAATAAACATATGCTTCCATTGAACGACAGCACAGTGTTTGGACACCACGATAAAAACGCATGTTGAAAAAAATATGAGTGCTAAAAGCATGAGAATATAAATCATTCTATTATACTAAAAATGGCCAAAAGTTCAGAAAAATGTTCCTTTACTGGTACATAAAAGTCAAGACCTAAATGACATCACTTCTGATTGAGCAAATTCCCAAGACAATAATGGACACACTTTCTTGACTTTAAGTAGGCTAGGCCCAGCGGCATCACGGGAAATGCTACCTGGAGCTTGGAGAGTTCTTGCAGAGCAGGCTGCTCCACCTGCAGCTTGTCACCACGCCGTTTCAACTCAGAGATTCCACCCTCGAGCTCTCTGAGGCCCTCTTCAGCCTGCTGGATGGCCTGGGTAAGGTTTACAAACATTTCATTCAGACTCTGAGGAACAACTGTACCCTACAGGAGAGCATCTCACTCTCTATTCTACTTCTAACCACGCCCCCAAATAATTTTAAATACATGAGAAAAGACTAACTTAAAAAAACAAAACCATAAGAAGCATCACCACACACTACTGGAGAAAGGGAAGGTCCTTTATCGTCCTCCGTGTCAGTTTTCTTAGGCAAGGGGATAAGGCAGAATGAGGGTAGAGAGCTAGGAGAGAATGGCATTCCTAAACAAGAAGTGTGGATGACCGCTCTACAGAGGAAGCACTGTACATGATAGAGCATGAATAAGCCCTGTCCCTGAGGTGTCTAGGGGACCACAGAGCACCCTGAAATGCAGTGGGACATCACTGGACAGTGTGCCAGTGTGGCCACAGGAAAGTATGCAGAAAGCCTGGCGCAGGAATAGTTGTTCCTATAAAGTGGAAGTCGGTCAGCAAGGATTAAAGTGGCTGCTCCTTTGTCTGCCCAGGGTGAGGTCTGTAGGAAGAGAAGACCTTGCCCTAAACTTCAAGGAACTGACAATCTCGTCAGGACGCCAGCAGAAAACAAAACAAATCTAAATATAATTAGGTACTAAAATTCTTGATGCAACTCATCCCTGATAGAGGAGTGGAGGAGGAAACGCCAGACCAGCAGACCTTGCGCTAAGAGGCTTCTGGAAGAACTACAGTCCAGTCGCCCTTGACGATGAGAAGTGTCTGGATGCCAGATGGCAGATGTACCACGTGTCCGCTTTTTCCTATCCTATCCTGAAACCTCTGTGCAACAATAGCAAATATTTTGTTTGCTTGTTTTTGGAGTACTTTCCTCCAAAAATCTGCTGGGGCAAAGAAACAGGGAACTTGATAAGACCAAAGTTAGAATCAGAAATATACATGAAATTTCACTAAGGCTGAGGAACCTGAATCCCAACCTAGTGGAGGAATCGCACCACTAAACCTAGAGCGTTGGGAGTCTCAGTGACTCAGGGAGACAGAGCGCTGGCAAAAAGCTGCTAAAGGGAGAAAGTCTCCATTGCAACCCCAGGCCACATTCCCCCACCCCCTTTTTTTCTCAGATGAGAGGTTCATAGTTTATTATTGGAGATGGAAAGGTACTTTCTAGACTGTAGGATGACAAATGTGGCAGAAGTGTAAGTGTAGGATTACAGAGAGGAGACCCAGGAGTGGCAGCTCCTGCATTTAACTCTGGGAGGCAGCTCAGCTACACAGCAATACCCTGAGGAGGAAGAAAGGAAAGGAGGGGGGTTGGGACGAAGAAAAGAGAGACAAAAGGAGGAAGGGAGAAAGAACAGAAAATAGGGTGTGGAAGTGACACAGCTTTGTCAACAAGGTCCCTGAGTCTACCTTGCTTCAGCAGGGGCTGTGGTCACTCCTCTACTGTCTAGAGAGAAGGTTAATAAGATCCACTGAGGAGGCCTAAAACTCCAACAGAAAGATTGTCCAACAAATGGCCTGATGAGACAGTATCTCCTCAAAATTATGAAGTTTCATTCTTACTTTGGGTTCCCATTCAACTGTTTAATTCCTCCCCGACCAAGCCAGATACAAACAGGTAACAGAAGATATGACCCTGAAACCAAGAATATCCAAAATGACCAACAGAGAAGATGCTAGCAAATGAACAAAGGGACCCAGGGGAAACAGATTATGTGAAAAAATAAACTCCAACTACAAAACTGTGAATACATCCAGGAATATTACCAAAAGAGAAAGAAAGAAAAAGATCTCTTGGAAAGACAGTTAGAGCACTGGACAAGATATTATCTCATTGAAGGGGGTTTCACAAAGGGAGGAAGATGAAAGAAAGAAATATAAATAATTAAATATGCCATTTGAAAGAATTTCAAAATGGAAAAACATAAATACAGTCAGAAGAGTCCACTGAGTTCCCAGTACAGAGGATAAAAATAGGCCCTTCCCAAGGCATGCAATTGTGATATTTCAAAACCCGGGGGACCTCTGGGAATTAGAAGGATTTTTAGATTTCTCAAGTCAGCATTGGAAACAAGCATCTACACACTAAGAGAAATTTATTTCTGACCCAGAGTTCTGTAAAGAGCCAACGAGAAAATAGGAGCATCGAATAAGAACATTTTTGGGGACTGAGGAGGTGGCTCAGTGTATAAACGGATCTACTGGCAAAACTGATAACCCTAATTCAGATCCCTAGAAAGCACATAAAGCCAGACAGACGGGCATCTGTAATCAGGGCACTCCCACAGCAAGATGGGAGGAGGTGGATACAGGGAAAGCCCCGGAACCTTGCAGGCCAGCTGGCCTGTATGTCCAGCAGTGAATACCAGAAGAACCTGCTTCAAATACATGGAAGTGAGGACCCACACCTGAGGTCAAGCAAGTCATGTTTGCTCTCTCTTTAGGGGAGCAAATTCCTTCAGATCAGCAGCTATTGCTGATGTCACCTTTGGCCTCATGTTCCAGAGTTGCCTGTAGAAGTTACCAAGTCAGTGTCATTCGGCACTTCACTCAAACCCAGTGCTGAAACCCAAACCATACAATGAATAAAAAGGCTGTATGAAAGAAGTGGGAGATAGTAAGACCTGGAGAGGATAGGAGCACCACAAGGACAGTGACAGATCCTAAAAGTCTGGCACGGGGGTCTTTTCTGAAACTGATACTCCAGCCAAGGACCACTCATGGAGATAGTCTGGAACCCCTGCACAGAGGTAGCCCATGGCAGTTCAGTATCCAAGTGGCCTCCATAGTAATGGGGACAGGAACTGTCTCTGACATGAACTGATAGGCCTGTTCTTTGATCACTTCCCCCTGAGGGGGAGCAGCCTTACCAGGCCACAGAAGAAGACAATGCAGCCAGTCCTGATGAGACCTGATAGACTAGAATCAGAGGGAAGGGGAAGAGGACCTCCCTTTTCAGTGGACTGGGAGAGGGACATGGGTGGGGAAGAGGGAGGTTGGGATTGGGAGGGGAGGAGGGAGGTACAGGGGGGATACAAAGTAAATAAACTATAATTAATAAAAATAAAAATAATTTTAAAAAACAACAAAAAAGGCTGTCTCACGGGATTAATCAGTCAAAGACCATTCGGCACCCCATGGTAAAGCAGTGATCTATACACCTGCTATTCTGGGACATAACCTGCACATATCTGTATCTAGGACAGCTGTACATGCCTGTATCTGTTCCACGATTGGCTGTTGGAACACATTTGCCAGCTTCTGCAGAATGATGTATTTGTTGTCAGCTAATGATGTAAACAGCACCTTCATGTCATTCTGAGAAAGAAAACAACGAAAGGCAAAATGTAAAATGGGAATAGAAACAGTTACAAATATCAGGCATATTATTATAGAGATGATACAGTGACACCCCTCTGGCTCTGAGTATTGTGTAGCAGCTTCCTCCAAGATTAAAGCCTTCCGACTTGGGGAAAAACTGGTTAAGACACTGGATATTAAAAGGACGGTGAAAAACAATATCTTCTAAGAGGAAGTGAAAAATTTCACCCTCTAAGAAAGCCCATTAAGATAAGAAGTAAACAACTCAAAGGCTTCAGGAAGTCCCTGAAACTGAACAGATGCAGTAGGCCCCTTCCTCACCCCAAACATAGCTAAGCAATAAGGACGGCTGATTTCAGCTTTGGTAATACAGCTGTCTTTGAATCATTTTTGTTTCGTTAAGTAGTCCTTCCCCTATATTCCTATAAGTACTCTAATAATAAACTCACTGGTTCACAATTGGACTTTGGTGGCATCTTTATATAAGTTTATCATTGAATAGGGTAAGTAAGCATTTGTTCACATTCTCAGGAATTCAGTTACACAACGCTATGAAAATTTCTTCCAGGACCCTCTACAGACATCAAACTCCAAGGATGCTCAAGTCCTTTATATAAAACCACATATATATATATATATATATATATATATATATATATATATATATATAAAACCACATGTATGTATGTCTTTTCAGATATTTTAACAACTTTTCTCTTTGGCTCTTAAAACCTATTTTTAATTTTAAAACTTTTAAGATTAATTTTTATGGGTATGAGCATGTGAGTAGAGGTACCCAGAAAGGCAAGAAGAGGACGCCAGATAGAACAGGAGCGACAGGTAGCCATGAGCAGCTTAACATGGGGGCTGGGAACCAACTCTAGTTATCTGGAAGAGCAGCCAGTGCTCTTAACTGCTGAGCCAGCTCTCCAGCCTATATTTTTTGGCTTTTTAAAAGTATGAAAATTAATGCTATCTATGTACGCCAAAGATACAGGAAATGACATTACAAAAAATCCTCAGCTGAGACTTTTGTTTATAAGCATCATTCTTCTCTCTCTCTCTCTCTCTCTCTCTCTCTCTCTCTCACTCTCTCTCTCTCTCACACACACACACACATACACACACATAGTGCGACATATACAAAGAAGAGAGTGGCCACCCAAATTCTTATACTCATTTCAAAGGGCACCGTGTGCTTGAACAATAATTAGAAAAATGCTGTTACATTCCCAGAAATATAAGCTAATAAGGTTTTTTTCTTGTTCTTTCTTTTATGTATATACTTGGCTGTTGTAGCTTTTCTTGTTTTGTGCTACTCAAGCTTGAGCCCAGAGCCTCTCACATGCTAGGGATGCAGTCTCCTACATGATGAGGTAACACATCAGCTCTCTTTTTGTTTCCATTTTCTTTTCAGACACAGTCTTGCTGAGTTGTCCACATTGCTCTGAATTCACAATCCCTCCACCTCAGCCTTGAGAGGACTGAGACCCAAGGCCTGTGTCAGTAGGCCAGGTTCTATCTCTTGTGAGCAACAAGCATGGATGAAGGGCTGACTGTTCATCCCAGGCTCAAGTTTAGCTCACTGCATCCTCCTCAGAGAGGAGCTGGTCATGGACCACAAGAGCACATCCACCAAACAAGAACAGGAAAATTTACGTTTCTCCAAGGGAGTCTCACTGGAAAAACCAAACACTTTTAAGGAAAGGCTGCATGCCCAGCAGTAGACGGCCACAGAAATCGAACTCAACAGAGTCTTTGGAGGTTCTTTGTCTCATAATGTTGTGTCTGGACTTTTTCTTTCTTTTTATAAAATTACCTCATATATACAGAGAGATAGATATTCTTTTCTCCTTTTACTCTATAGAGCTTTTGTGTGTGTGTGTGTGTGTGTGTGTGTGTGTGTATTCTGGCTTCCAGTTTAATGCTTTTATAAGATTCCTAAGTATCCAAACAAGTAGGCCTCTTCTTTCTTGTGTCTTCTCTTGGTCTTTTTTTTTCTTTCTGTTTGTTCTTTCTAATTCTTATGTGTCAGTTCTTGTTTTATGTTTATACCATGTCATAGAACAGCATAGCCTAGCACATCACATCATAACATATTCCCGTAGAAGCCTGTTTGTTTTCTAATGAGATGCAGAAAGGAGGTGGAACTAGATGGGAGGTGAGGTGTGAAGATCTGAGTGAAGTAAAGAAAGGGAAATGGTAATCAGGATATATTATCTGGGAAAGAAATCAATTTTCAATAAAAGCAAATAGAATGTTGACTTATTCGTGAATAAAATTTGTTTAAATTGGGGAAAAGGAATGCACGCAAGGGCTGGAGAGATGCCTCAGAACTTAATAGCACTTGCTGCTCTTTAAGGGGACCCAAGTTTGGTTCCTAGGAGCCAACTGTCTCTCACAACTGTCTCTAATGCTGGCTACAGAGAATCCTGTACCCTCTTTTGGCCTCTTAGGGCACTATACACCCATGTATTATACACACATACACATATACATGCAGGTAAAACATTCATACATGTAAAATAAAATACCCATTAAAATGAATGTATGCAGACATCATAACGCAAGGCTAAAAAGCAAAGTAATGTATAAATTGAACAAGAATATTGAGGTCTGGTGATATGTTGAGTTTTGTAGCAATTTTTTAGCATGCAAAAGTTCCAGGGCTTGATCACCAGAAGAAAAAGAGAGAGACAGAGAGAGAGAAGGAAGAAAGGAACAAAACGGAAGGGGGCTGAAGTGAGAATATAGTGCTGAATGCGCTCAAGAAAAGCAGCAGCTGTCACTAAGCAACGCTCGAGCTGAGCTGCAAGCGCAGCAGCCAGCCAAATAGGAAATCATTCTGAGACTACTAGAAAAATGGCGAGTTTTTCATGGGTTCCAAATATGTTCCTGTGAGTCCACAGAGTTGAGGGTCGGGGTGGGGGTCATGGGCTCTTAGAATCACCACAGGACTTCTTTGAAAGCAAAAATGAAAGATGTTTTTCACTCATTTGAAGAGAGTCAAAGCAAGAAGTCCTAACCACCCATGATGTGGGCATTCTATTTATTCCTGAATGTCCATAGTTCTCTACTTCACCTGAAGAACAGATGAGGAGAAATAGCCTAGCACGGGTTACAAAGGTCCTGTGTAGATTTCCTTTCTACCCTCTTTTTCTTTTTAATGGGGTACTTCCCCCACGTTCTCCCAAACATAGCAGAAAACACAGTTCTTATTTCTAGAAGCCATGGCAACTGCTGGGAGAGACTAACCAAGAAAACCACAGTAACGTGGTTCATGGGAAAGTTGCTGATTAATTGCTGGGTGGTAGTAATAGTCTTATGCTTGTTATTTTCTAAAGAATAAAAAACAAGAAGGAACAAAAGCCAAGGGATTCAACAAATTATTATTATTATATTTGTGATGCAGCAAGAATTAAGGAATCAGTATATAACAGATATTACAATTTATTTCTTTCAATCACGGATTAAAGGAGGGTGTGAATCATTTAAAAAATTTATAGACATTTTGAAACCTTAAAAATCAGTGATGCTGACTCACTATTATTAAAGAATTACTTAGTTTCTCACGTTTAAAAATCACTTAACATATTGAGTTTTTTGAAAACACTGAAATGTATTTGGGGTTAAATATCTGAGCAAAAAACAGAAGAGTGACAGCTAATTTGATTGTGATTCTACATACATAATACCCAAAACATGCAGATCATCTATGTATCTTTCCAGTCTTGTGGGGGGATATTCTAGAGCAATGCTAACAGTCTGACAACAGGTGATTTTTATAGATGATATGGAGGACAAAGGCCTGTCATGCCAGGGCTACTGAGGACCAACAGCACGACAGATGCTCTGTACAAGCAAAAGAAAGTTCATGACTATGACTTGTTTTTTTTTTTTCTTACGTTAACATTGGGGTTCCTTCTCTCAATTAAACTAGAACATGAACACCTGATTTGTCATTTTTGTTCATGAGCTGGCCACCAACAAGTAGAAACTTGTTGGCAAACACACACACACACACATACACACACACACAAACCCAACAACAACAACAACAAAAAACCCAGAGGACACCATTTAAAGAGAATTTTGTGATTACATGTTATTTCCATGGTCTTCTATAACAAACTGAATTCCGAAGAAGTCATGCTTAGTTCATATTTTACTGTCACTGGTTATAATTACCAAATTCAAAACCTGCCATAAGCATTAAGCTGGCAGAAGCAGCTATGCAGAAATAAGTGCACCTTTGAGGCGTCCACAGCTGGGCAGGTAAGCAGGGCTCATGGGTGGCTTACAGACTAAAAGGCTGTAGGAATCTGGCACTCTTCTTTATGGAAGATAAATTTTACGAGTAATGAAAGTTAGCTTTTCATCTCTAATGGCCCTGCTGACTTTATGGACACAGTCAGTAGACATTCCTGCAAAACATACTACCCAGATAATCAACCCTGCTTTTCTGCTTCCAGGTGAGCTGATCTCCTTTTTCTGCACCATACAACTTTAATAAGCAGAGATGTAACTCCTGCAAAGGCCACTCTCCTCCCATGCCACCGAGCCGCACACTCACATGCCTGCTATGATTCTTCACGTCCATAGCTTAATGGCACCTGTATCTCAGCCAAAGCACTTCCAGGAAAATAATCTACTGTGTTGGCCAGTGGCACTGCTATCTCTAAAGGCCTCCAGAAATGCAAGCCAGAATCCCTGAGTTCTTTAGTGGCCATCCCTTCTCTCATTTCTCACATCCAAGCCATCACCAAATGTCTTTCTGCTCACTCAGCTCTCAGAACATATTTGAAGTCGGTCGGTTAGTCTTATCTCTCCTGCCCACAACTCAGATCGTGCAGTGCAGAAGTGCTCTTAAATCCCATCCTACCTTTTGAGTGCTAAACCTGAAGAAAGTAAAATAAAATTTCCATTGGCTTTAGATCCTTTATCTTTCTTAATACTACTCAATGGCGAAATCGATGATTATAAAATATGTTGAGTGCTTGTTATGAAGTAGGATCCACTGAACGTATCTGAAATATTTTCGCTTACTGAAGCCTTACAGTACTGTGAGGCAGTGGCTGTGGGTAAATGGTTGATATTGAGGCTCAAGGTAATGAAGCAACTAAGATCACCCAGCAGCAAGTGAGCAAGCTGGAATGTGAGGCTTAGCATGGAGGCACATGTCTGGAGTGTGAGGC